TTAAACACAAAATTATGTGTATTTTTGGTGAACATAAATCCATTTTTCTGAGTTTTATTTTAAAATAATACCCCAGTAAGACTTTAGTACTAAAGTAAGACTAATCTTACTCTTCTTTTACACTAAATTAGGAAGCTTTTAATAATGCTTTTCTGTAGAATTTCATCCTTTTTATAACTAAACAACCTAAAATATATTTTCTCATGAACTACCAAATCCATCTGTCTTCCTAGCCCTGTGATATATCGTTATGTTCTCTAACACAAAGCTAAAAATTAAATAAGGTATGCAAACACTCAAAATAATTTGTGGGATTGGTAGAGAACTAGTTTTCATAAATAGAAGTGTACTGCAAATGAATTTTCTTAAACCATTCTAAATAACTAACTAAAAGAAATGTGATAGCTTAGAAATCTTTTCCACAAAATATGCCATGGAAGGAAGAAAAGTACGTAATCTTTCATCTTATTTTCTTTATATATAGTTTTGTTCTTGTAAATATCTTGATATGGGTTTTCCAAAATAATCATTCTTATTTTTAATCAAGTAGTATCAAGTGGATAGTGAAATTCCTTACAAAGTTTGTTTATATTTAAGAGTACAACTTAGAAATTAAATGCCTTTTTTTTTTTTTTGGACAAGAAACCCATTTTCTTCATGCTCTAATTATTTTAATGAAGATTTTTCCATTAGTACCTGGCTTGCATTTCTGTTTTTCACTTTCAATCACTTTATCTTGCAACAGAGATTTCTTATCTGTTGCACTTATACAAGCTAATAAACTTGTTCATTCGTGGCCTTTAGATTGATTTTCTTCTCTGCTGATTTTTTATAAAGGTATAGGACTATATAGATATAGCTTAGACAGATACAGCTGAAAGTTTCTGAGGCTTGGCTGTTTGTATTTTGCAGGCAAAGCCACTAATGCTGCAAACCAAAAAGAACAAAGATAAGAAATTTCCTTTAATATTTACATACTCCCCTAAAAATTGTCACAGGAGGTTTGTTTTTAAAATGCGGGTAGTGAAAAAGTGTGACAAATCAAGAGTCTTCTTTCCATCATAGTTTATAAGTTTCACACCAAACAATCAAAAGATAGAAGTTATCAGGAAAGTAGTTCTGTGGTTTTTACTTCCTTAAAAGAAGATAAATCTGAAGATAGTGAATATGGTTTTAAACCTTCTCAGGCTGAAAATAGAAAAGACCTTATATTTCCAACTTTCTGAGTGTATTCAAAACCTCTGAACTATTATGTAAAATGTAGGTGCCATGAACATTGACATAATGCTTCTTTCAGCAGCCATATTTTGGAACAGATAAAAAAATCAAGTTCTAATTATGTTCCATCCCTTGAAATCCTAAATTGAAATAAACATGTCTGTGTAATCCTGATTTAGGCACATAATTCTAAGAGAATTTCTTCATAACTGTGTGGCTGCTTTCTAGTGTGTGAATATGGTTTTGAGACTGTACTGCAAAGAGTCTGAATTCTTTCCACCCACTGTGCAGACAACCCGCGAAGTTAGTTTCAGGTTTTGCATTGTTCTTCATGCACCAAGAAGATAGTGAGATGTCTGCAAGTGCCTAAGGCTTTTATTGACTCTAATTGCTGAAGGTCTTTTGAGGATGCCATTTCGTACCAAAAAAATTGTTTGATTGTGTGGATACAAGGAAGTTTTCTCCAAAATTCTGGTCTCTTTCAGTCTTGCATGGAAATATTTTTCTATCAGATAAAAGGCTTGTGTCACTTACTGAGAAAGGACTTGCTTCACTGTTACTCCCTCACCCCATTCCACTCCACCCCAGTATCAAAGGTCCTTAACTGTAAAATCTTCCCAAAGTTAAAGTTTAGAACAGTAGTAGTCACTAGGACTTTTTTTTTCAATCTTCAAAAATAATTTCTGTCCTCCTTGAAAACAATATACAAACTCAAAAAACCTTTAATGACATCTTCTTATGAAAGCAATTCAGGCAGCACATGACTGAAGAATGTCCTGTAAGCAGCTTCTCTGTGCCTAGTGAGGGACTGGCAAGTGCACTGCCAAGAGAGGCCATAAAGCACTCCACAGAATGCATAACTGTTCAGACTTCCTTTACAGATGTTGACAATGCTGAACACAAAACCCAGCAATATTAACCTTAATAACCAAGGTTCTTTCTGTTCTATCTCCTGATGTTACTCTTCTGTCACTGATGTCAGTGACAACCTAAAAGATTAATTAGGCCTTTTTGCTGTACAGCTGTGTTTTAAGTCCCAAACTCATGATGGAAAACATTATTTTTTTTTTTTTAAAATTACATCTGTAGGAAGTGGGAGTAGAATCACAGACCAAAAATACCTATTGCCGTGGTTTGCCCCTGGCCAGATGCCAGGGGCCTATTAAAACCACTCCACTACCCTCCCTCCTCCCCTCTGCAGCTGGACAGACAAGAGAGGAAGAAAAAAAAAGCAGCAAAGGGGTTTCATGAGATAAGGATTGAGAGAAGGCAGTGTTAACAGGAAAAACAAACTCAGAGTGAGGATAAAACTTAAATTTATTACTAACAGAATAAGAGCATAAGAGTGAGAAATAAAACAGTCTTAAAACACTCTCCCCTTCCCCCCACCTCTCCTTCTTTTAAGGTCTTCCCTCCTTCTCCCAGTGGTGCAGGGGGACAGGGAAAGGAGGGTTTGTTGTTGTTTGAGTCCATCCCTCAGGCAGTAGCTTTTTACAGTTGACTCTTAGCAGTCCAGAGGTTCTCCATAATTTACAGGGGGACATCTCTATTATTGTGGTCTTCACCGCGGGGTACAGTGGGGGTCTCTGCAGCTCCGAGTTCTTCCCCTGCTTCTGTGGGGTCCCTCTCACGGGAGACAGTCTTTGATGAACCTCTCCAGCATGAGTCCATTCACCCCTTGGGCAACAGTTCTTTTCAATCTGTTGCCCCATGGATGACTTCCCCAAGGGGGTGAAGTCCTTTATGGGTTGAGCTGTACCAATGTGGGTCTCCCACAGAGGCCACAAGTCCTACCTGGGAAAAAACTGCTCTGGCATGGGCTTCCCTCTCCATGGGCCACAGGTCTCCAGCAGGACTTCGCTCCACTTTGGGCCTCCCACAGGAGGTCACAGCCTCCTTCATGTATCTTCCTGCTCCAGCATGGACTCCTACATAGGCTCCCCCCCTTTCCCCCTGCCTTTGGTTGCACTGAGCTTGATGACTGCTTGTTCTTCCAGACTGGAATTTCTTCTGGGTAAAAACCTTCTCTTCCCCTGTTCTTAAATATGCTATCACAGAAGCCATCTCATTGGCTCAGCCTTGGCCAGCAGCAGGAAATCCCTCCTGGAACTGACTACCATTGGCTTTTCATAGGACAGTGAAACCTTCTAGTGGCTTCTAACAGAAGCCACTCTATAGCCCTCCCGTGCTACTAAAATCCAGCCACAGGTTAAAACCATGACACCTATTATTTATTTATTTAGTATACATGTTTTGTTCAAAAGATGTTGAATTCCTTATAGAAGAAAAAAAAAAAACATTTCTTCAGATAAGGTATGCCTACACAGATGTTACAGTATAGCTGATGGAAGACAAATCTGGACAAGTTCAAATCCTGCTAGCATCAAGGTTAGGGGAATGTATAGTATGGACTAGCAAATTAAACAGCTCTTAGTGAGTTGTCTGCTATGTCCATAGTGCTACAAAGCACTTTAGCTAACTAGCTGAATGATAACCTCTTTTCACCTATACAACACCATTGTCATGTCAGGGGAACTGATTTAATCTATAGGGATGTTTCCATTTTGAGACCTATGCAGTTATCAAAATGGAAACACCCCTACAGAATAAATCAGCTTTAATGTTGATGTGCTATTACATGTGCTAATACATGTTGATGTGCTAATAATTTCTGTGACTACTCATGCTTTCTAATAGGCACAATTATTCCACTACGGTAGAAATCTAGATGAATATTGTAAAATGAAATAATATATAAGAAAACACACTGTCAGTTTTTCATTTTAGTCAGATTTCACAGAATCACAGAATACTCCAAGTTGAAAGGGACCCACAAAGATCCTCAAGTCCAACTCTTAGGGGAATGGCCCATATAGGAATTGAACCCACAACCTTGATAATAGTAGCACCAGGCTCTAACCAACTGAGGTAATCTCATAGTCTTTTTTTGGGCTAATGTTACTTAATTGGGCTTATTCTCAATGGGTATTACTACAAGTGGTTTTAGAAGAAAAAATTTTTGGAAAGAAGGATACTTTTAGGACATGTTGCAGAGCCTGGCTAAATGTGAGACCTTAACAATGTAAGCTGTTTTGTGCAGGCAATTTCCAGAATAGCTGCAATGATTCATCAGGGGATTGCAACATATGGATTCTTTTGCTGAGTGAAGATCTACAGAAAGATATTTTCATCCTTGATAATTCCAGTCATGCAGATTTTGAAAGATGTACTAATCCGAACAGAAACATGCCATGTAACCTCTATGTCCAACTAAAAATATAAAACAGATATAATATTAAACACAAAACACAGTAGATGACTATTCTTTTAAAGCACCATGTCAGAGGAAACTGCATAGGAATTGACAGCCAATGGACATATATCTTCCCAGGTGTAGGAAATAAAGTGCAAGGCAAGATCATTTATTACCTTAAAAGCAAAATGCAATGTGTTTGATAAATTCACTGTTTTAAGTACATAGTTGAAGTTGATTTCTGAACTGCAAGTAGAATTTCAGTAGATGTTAAATGTTAAGCTACTTAATATAGAAATAGCCATTTATTATGTGCATATTCAGTGCCTAGTGGAATGTGGCTATACATAAAAAATGTCTTGGCCATAGTTAATAGGTTTTATTAGTGATTCTTTGGGCTTGACAGTCTACACAATTAAAGAAAAAAAAAGAGAAAAAAAAAAGAATAAGAGGTACTAGAATTGAAAACAAAAAATGTAAGTGATATTGAAATGTAAAAAAAAAAAAAGAAATTAAAATAAATGTCACTATTATTTTAAGCAATTATGTTCACTTATAAGGGTACTTCACTTTATCTATTAGTAACACTTAAATATGGTTTGATTCTCAGACTAAGACAGGTACTGAAGTCCCCTTCAATTCACTAAAGTTTGATGGCTTCATTTCAAGTATTGTAGGTTACCCTAGTAATGCATGGCCTATGCAATCTTGAGGCCTATGCAATATAAGCTAAAATAACCTGATGTTTCTTGATGTTCCAGTCCAGCTGTCCTTGCTGGGCAAAACGGGCATAAAATTCCATTTTTTCAAACTTCTGCCTGTGTCAGTTTCATGCACAGTTTCTGTGACAGACACATCATACTATACAACAAACACTCATAAGCCATAATTGCAAGCACTATCTTCACTTTTTGAAAACAGTGTAAACAGAGGAGCAACACAAAGATGTACAAAAAAGCTGAATTTTGATTCTGTTGGTGTGGCTTCTTCAACTTGTGCTTGCGTTCTTGTTGGTACTATTAAAATATATTTGCTGCATCTGTCTAGTTGGGCCAATCTTTACCCTTTCTACTAATTGATGTATCTCAGTAGTAAGAAAAGCAAGATAATAAGAAGACAGAAAGAGGTAGGAAATTTACTGCAAAATTTATTTTCTGTAAGGATTAATCATCTCCCTATAGCAAATGCTATAGGAATACACATGCAGTGACTAATTTTTAATTGTGCATTGAATTTTCTTATTTCCCCTCACCCTCCTAATTTTTTTCTTGATAAAAATGATCCTGTTTTTTGCAATGATTTTCCCTATGACATTTAGTACTTTCTAAAATTTTTAGAACAGTTGGTTCCTTAGAAGAAATTTTGATAAGCCATATTCTTTAAAATAACTTCCAGATTTCTACTATGTGCACATGGCTGTTGCATATTGCGCTGAGTTTTTTGACCTGAGCATATTGAAGACTGAGTCTTTTTGGACATGGCAAGATCTAAAGAACACTTTGTGTTTAATTACTGGGGTTACACCAAAGAAAAATCTACCCAGATTATGAGAGTTTTATATTCTACTGTATTTAAACCTAACAAAGTTGCCGCTTATTAATTCACTATCCCTATGCTTTTCTTAAATTTTCACCTAGGAAAGACTTAATTCTTAACTTTCTGGATATTGCTGATGTCATGGGTTGAGCTGCCACATCTGAGTTTGTGGAATTAAAAATTTGAGGTCCATGACTCCCTTCTACAAGAACTTTAGAAAGAATACCATCAGGTACAGCCAAAAAATAGTCTTCCTCAGGAACTGAGACCTTACAGTCTCATGCATTACAGCAGTATATCTGTTGTACACAACATACTGTTCTTTACATCAAATGCTCAGATTTTAACTGGTAGAATAACAATTACCTATTTTACTTTCATCAGGACCAAAAATGAAGGTCAAGAGTCTATATTTTGATCCTTTGACTAAGCTTTTTAAAGTGCAAGATGTCTAGTAATTAACTTAGTTATGACTCAGGTCCAAATTACTTCTGGAATTTCACTGAGAAATAATTTTCCAAGATAGCCATTTCTGAGAATCTGAGAAGGTGATTATATTAATATTTTGTAATCTAAATATCTTTGCAAAGTCATTTCTCAGGTTCACGCCTAGAAGTTATGCTCGAATTTATTTATGTCTTTGGTGATTAATGTGCATTTAAATGCTGTGCTGAATATTGATTTTAGTATGTATAATCTGCTTGGCTGAACTAGGGTCAACTTGAAGCATTTTAGCTATATGCTAAATTGAGTGGGCTTATTCATTTAGCTTCTGCACTTAAAAAGGTGTAAAATTGCAGCTACTATTTATGTGTAGGTGCAGAGAAATTTCATTTGTTTTGTTACTGATGTCAGCAAATAAAAAAAAAAAAACACTGTGATTTTATACATAGTGATTTTTACTCTGATTTCCTTGTGAACATGCCCAGGACCAAAGGATCCAAACTCACAGTAAGTCTGTTTAGGAGAATCATTGGAAAATATTTTGTTATAAGTAAAGCATTCTCATCTCAGTGAAACTTCCATTTCCCAGTCTATCAAATATGTGAATTACCTCACATCAAAATGGTGTATCTGCATTGATATACATTGATATGAGTTTGAATCTAAGTACCTACTGTTCAACATTCTTTTCTTTTTCTTGGAGTTCAGTAATTGTTTTTTCTTGGCATAGCTCATGCTATGCATTTTTTGTATACTTATTGAATAACTTTTCCAAATTATTAGCTGTTTTAAAGGTTTTTGAAATTGCCTTTATTATGAAAGATATCTTTATTATTCTGAACTAACATTGTCAGTAGCAGAAACCCTGAAGTTGGCAATATTGCATGTCACTTGCATCCCAGAATCATAATTATGGTGTAATGTAGAAAGCTGGCCACTTAGGTGGTCAGGCAATAAAAGCACTTTTCTCTGTAGTACAAAAGCTTATTCTGGTCTGTATTTAAAAGAAAAAAATATTCAGAAGTTTCATGTTCTTACTTGCTTTTCTGAATAGATATTAGTCATACTGTTATTTAAGACAATTATTTTCTTGAAAAAGTAATATCTGTATCTTTTGTCATTGATAATAAATAACAGATAATAAACACATTGTTTGGTACCTTTTCAGTGCTTCTGTACAACTCTAGCACACCTCCACACTTCTGCTCTCCATCTGGCGTGTCCACTTCTGTAGGGTTTCCAGAACTCGCTGATGTTCATGCTGTTTCCTTCCCAGAGCCCTAAGACAGAGAAATCAAGTAGAAACAGCTAGCCTAAAAGCTGTATCTGAACTGAGGGTACAGAGAACTCTTCAAAACAACCAGGCTCAGGTATGTTTCCTGGCCATATCATGGCTTATGCCACGGTAAAGCAGAGGAAAAGACCAAATTTCCCCTATTTTGTCTCTCCTTGTTTGTTAATTACTTCTTTGAGAAGTAAATCCAAGTGTGCATGTCAGCACGTGGTATTGTTTCGTTTAGCTAGAGTCTTGTGCATCACTCGGACTGTAAAAAACAAACCATGTCATATTTTTAGTAAGTAGAAAGACTGAAAAATTATCACTTTCTGAAATTCTGATCCCAAAACATCATCCTCTATTATATGAGAAGAATAACTTCAGTACCCATTGGCAAAACTTCTGTGTGAATTATTTGAACAACACAACAGATACTTAACTAGCACCTTTTTTGTCAACATTAAATTGAAATCCTTTGTCTCCATTTCCTTTACTTTGAGTCAGGAATGTTTGTAAATGAAGGATTTGTGTTTTGTTATGATTAACTCACCACATTTTGATCATCGACAATCCTGTATATTTTATGTGTAAAACATTTGGCATTGGACTCTTGGTGGTTTCCTATTTACTGTGTTGTATTTCATTCATTTTAAGACAGCTATTGAAAACCCTAAATCAGTTTGGGATAAAGACTTCTGTTTTAGTGAATGACTATGCAATGTGTTTACCTTGGACTTTAATATTGTTTGTACCCCTGTCTTCTCTAATATTTTCACTATGTGGCCATGGTAAATGGACCCTAAATTAAAAGTTAGGGTGAAATCTCAACACAAAAAAGATATAAGGTCTGTTGAATTTTAGTAGTAACCACAAAAATCATATTTATTTCAGATACAAGGTTGATGTTGAAATCACACCTTAAATCTAAAACAATACTGAAAATATCCTGAGGGGAGAGCAAAATTTACTCTGAAATGCACACTTTTGTGGAGAAAATAATTAATTAGGAGAGATAGAGTAGTTCATCCTGTCATAGCTAACTGATAATGTTGCTTTAAATAAAAAATGCATTAAAAATATCCATTGTAAACAAATAAAAACACAACATAAGAAATGGGATACTCTGGTAGAAAACACACTAAATAGAACAAATAAGCAATTTAAGAAAAAGTGTTTTGAAGACACTGGAGAAGTTACTATAGGCAAAAGAAATTTTTATATCTTTTTTCTGTAGTTGTTAGCAAAGTTATTTAATTTTATTTTAATTAAGAAATTCATTGCAATCTTTGACTCTGTAGAAGCTCATGTTGGTCTCTGCACCTAGTCTCAGAGAAGTTAATAAGTTCTGCTCAGAGAAATCTTTGCAGGACTTATCTCTTTAACCAAGGAGCCAATAGCTTGTTATTTATGACAGAAAAATTTTGTGTGCATATACCTAACAATACCATGCCAGAAAATCAAAGGAACACTTTTTGTCTCACATACAAGTCACTGTTGACGTCATCAGCATCCAAGACCTTCATTGTGAAGCTGCTGCTGAAAGAGACAGAATTGCATGTTGTACATTCTATCATTCCCTCGAGTAACAGAGGTGAAGAAAATGGTCTGAGTTAGGTAAGCCTTGAGAGAATCAAATGAAATTGTATGGGACTGAAATCACTAACCCTTATAATTGTCACTTTCTTTGTTTATTAGAGTGCGTAGCCACCATATTTATTATTTGTTTGTATGCATGATTTATGCACTCGTCCCACTTTCTGTAGACATTTGGGTTTTTTGTCTACCAATGTGTTTTGTTATTTACTTGATGGCTTTTTAAGAGCATTGATCTTCAGGTTGATAGATGAAGTCAGTAGTCATTATTCATTTATCCAGCTAGAGAAAGACATGCACTAAGCATTCTGGCAAGTGGTAAGATGAGATAATCAAAAATCTAAAACTCTGCAAGAAAGTTTAATATCTGAAAAATCCTCTGATTTGGAGAAAGCAAACCTTTCAATTTCTAATAAGTGAGTTTGAATAAGGATTTGGTGTATGGTGGGGGGAGTCAGGAGAAAAGTTTAGCACAAACATTTCATTTGCAACCGCTTCTAAAATACCTTTTGTCATGACTGTTTTAAATTCCTCTGCATTAATAAAATCTATTCATTTAGAATCTATCTCTCATGAATATGATCTCTACAGACAAAGATTTATGACATTTAATATATTTTGAAGCTATCCCATAAAAGTAATCCATCTTTCTAAAAACATGTTTATGTAAAAATTAAAGCTAGAGAAATAATTTCCCACACTTACAAGATAGATGCATTGCTGTCCCATTTTACAAAACCAATTTATTTCTGTGGACCAAAACAAACAACTTCAGAGGATTATCTAAAGTCCATTCCTAATAAAATTATTAGCAAAAGAGAAAAAGAATTCAGACAGAAATCAAGGAACAACTACATATTTATCAACAGAGTAGTTCTTGATGCAAATACAATCTTTACTTAGGTAAGACCTTTAAAATCTACTAGATTTTTCAAAACGGAATGTGGGTATTTATGAGACATAAGCTTCTTGTAAGCTTGTCACCTGCATTTCTCTAACCCCAAAATGGGACTGATTTTTGTATGTTTTAAGTGCTCCCTTTAAGCAAAGAAGAACTGGAATTCTGATAAAACAAAGTGCAGATCTGCCAGCATCTCTGCCTAGTTCCTAATAAGCTTAACACAGCCCAGTAGACACCATACCATGTCATGGGATCTCTTCAGTATTGAGCAACCAGAGGCTGGAGAGGTAATCCTTTTCATGTATACTGCATCTATTGCCTCCATTCTAGAAGAATCCAAGTCTGAGAAACTCATTCAAGCAGTAATTTGACCTCTACAACCATCGTATTTGATATTTGAGCACGTAGCTCATAATGCCCTGGGTGTTCATTCCTGTAATTTGTGATCCTCTTTGACACTGGATGCTGAATTTGTCCCTATGTTCCTTGGAAACTAGGCACAGTTCCAGAAATTGGAAAGCCATCCCAAGCACTGGGCAGCTGGAGGCAACAAATGCCTACAGAGCTGGAGTGGCTCTGTGCTTTTGAGCTGGATGACTCTAGCCAAGGGCATCTGAGCAGTTTTCCTGAAGGCCCGTCTTCAAACTGGGCATAGGTTTTGTCTATACCCAAGATGCTCTTCTTGGTGCAATACCACATTTTCAGTTTTTTGCACTTGGCAATAGTGAGGGAAGCTTTGAGTAGGGAGTTATAGAGGTGTTTCCAGTTGTAAAATGTTCCTTCCATTATGCAAAGGTTGTCTTCCGAAATCTCCAGTTCCTTTGTAGAAGTAATGGTGGTGTCTTTAGGAAAAGGCTTTAAATCTGTCCTGTCAAAGCCCTTAGGAAGGGGCAGGGATGCTTTAGACAAGGTGGTGTATGTAGATGCTTCCTCCTGCTTCAAGAGGGCTCTCAGATTTTATTTCTCCTTTTTTTTCTGTCCTGTCTCCATGTTTTCCTGTTTCTTCATGAGTCTGTGCTCTATCTTTACTTCTCCATCTCTGAAAGGATAAAGCAGAAGAAGCTGCTGGAAGCAGATGCCTATTAATTACTGTTTAAAGTTCTGTGTCACAGTGAGTTGCCAACATGTTTTTCCTTCAAAAGCTGCAGTGAAAGAGTACAGAAAGCTTCTAGATTTTTAGTTGTCTGTGCACCAGTGGAATGAGACCAAACCTCTTCTGATCACATGATTAAGTTTGTAATCACTTTGGCATGGAACTTATTGGCATAGGTTAAACCCAAGATAGGACAATTAACAGGTACATGCAAAACAAACTTTATTCAGTCTCTATTACCCTAATACTGTTCTCAGCCTTTGGATAAAATAAGTTAATGAGATACAGTATAAGGTAAAGCAGTATGACTGCACACAAGAGTTCAAAGCCTTTCCTCATCCTGTTGTTTCTCCTGGGTATTCTTCCTAGATAATGTGACTATAAAAGCATCACTTTTTCTCCGTGGAATAAATAAAAAACAGCCCATAAGTACAAGCCTGGCAATACACTGGTAATAAAACTGACTTCCAATCTTGATTTCTTAGCTGACAGGGTCATTGATTGCCTGTTATCTCCATTCCTGAGATTTTCCTGGCTTAGAAGAGGCTTTAAATTAAGGGTTTTAACTGAAAACATGTGCTGCTCATTAGCTCTGCTACTGGCACACCTGTGCTGTTCTCCTGTTTTTAACAGGCTTTTGCTCAGACCAGGCTCCTGGAAATCATTATATTTGCTGTTGCTACAGTGGATAGAGGATCCATCTACTGTTACTGGCATTTCTATCCTTTATTTTAAGGAGGCTAGAGAGGACTGGCTTGATGAAGAGAAGAAAAGATTTTTTTTTTTTTCAACCTAAAAGATGGGGAAAATGAGTTGCTTGTGACCAGGTTAATGCTCAGGAACAGCTGTTTTTAAAATGGACATCTCCTTTGAAAGCTTTGTGAAAATTTATCTAGAGACTGTACATTTTTTCTGAAATTGGCTGGATTAAAGAAGTTGATATGGTTTGAAGCTGGCTTCCTGCCAAGTCTCCAAACCTTACCACAAGAAGTCCCGTCCCCCCCCCTGCAAACCTCAGGGAGAAGAGGGAGAAGAACAACCAAGAAAACCGAAACGAGAGAGAGACAGCTAAAGCAATATATATAAATATATTTACACTTATGTTACAGTTATATACAATTGAAATATATATACAATTTCACAAGGGAAAGGGAAGGGGGAAGGGAAAAGGAACAAAACCAAAATAAAATATATATATATATCCTGATTAGAAGCCCAATGTCTAGCAACTAAAAAAAAGTTAGCAAAGAAATATCTCACTACTTTCCTTGGGACAACGGAAAGTTGCTCTGGAACGATCGCCGTCAACCTCCGCCTCCCAAGGTCGACAAGGCCTTACTAGGCCTTGCTCCCCAACACGACAGACTCAACAGCAGGGAACCTGCACCTCCGAGCCACCGGAAGGAAAGAGAGTGAAGGCCTTTCCTCCTTTCTTCTTATAGCCTGGTTTACGTAAAAATCATAGGGAATACTGGGTAAATCTGGACCCTTCCTTGGTTACAAACTGGTCATCAAGGAAGGCCTAGACCAAACTACCACAGAAGTCTGCTTTGTTTTGTAGTTCTGAATATGCCAGCATTTTTTAGCTAGGGTTTTTCCCTTGAAATATAGATACTGATATTTTAGACTTGCCCATGGTCTGATTGCTTATGTTTTGAAATTAGGCTGGCATGGCCATCTCTTCTGTCTTCAGTATATGAGGTATGAAGTCTACATTTAAGGGCTGTGTTGACTGTCCTGTCCTGTTTGAATCTGAGCTGTTTAAATCTGACAGCTCTTGATAGTGTACAAATCATTGAGGTAAGATACCTTATTTACAGACAATGACATCTATGAATTCAGTGTGAGGCATCTAAGTGAACTGCAACTGAAGAACTAAAATTAGCTGTAAAATGAAGGAAGGATAGAAGTTGGCGAAAGAATCTAGCAGGTGACCTCTTTGGCTTCTGTCTATTCACTCAGGTAGCCATATGCTTGATGTAACTCACTTCTTTTCAAACATGCTTTTTTTTTTAGGAGTAAGTGGGGAGGAATAATATCTTACTATAAAACTTTCTTTAGCTATTCCTTTTGAGGAATAAAAGGAATCTTTACTGATATTAATAAATGGTGTGTTAGTTCTGCCTGCCATTCAGCAACAATGCTAAGTTGCTTCTGCACTCTTTTTATGCTGTATTTAGCTTCCCCCTTTTTTGTCCATTTTCTTAAAGGGGCTAAGAGAGAAGAGTGAATTCTTCAAATTAATAAGGTTGGTTTCTTTTTCTTTCTTTTTAAGATACTTATTGAATTTTGAAAACTGTGTTTGCCAAAACATTCAGAAAAAACTTGTCATCAGGATGATGTCTGAAGTCCCACATATCTTACTTTTTCTTTTCCTCAGTTCCAAGTCTGTAAAATGGGTTAGATATTCTTTTCATCTCATGCAATTTTGTAGCCATTACTACTTTTTGTGAAGTTTTTGGATGCCAGACTAACAAAAGCTATAGAAAAATCTATTAAGGAAATTAATAATGCTGTCTTCAAGGCAGAGCCTGAACAGCAGGTAGTAAATAAAGTTTGAGGTCGCAAAATGAGTGATGAATAGGAAGGAAAATATTGACTAGTCAACTAGAAAGCATTTGTAGTCCTTTCTGAGTTTCTGATTTAAGCAGAGATCTTGTGAAAAATAATAAGTTTGCAATTAAAAATTGAGTCATAACATACACATAGAAGGGAAATAAGAATTAAAATGTCTCTGGGGTTTTTTGAAGTTGTTAACATTTCTTTTTGTGATTCTGTGTCCTATATGGAGAGTGTGTGGGATTAGGTACAATAATTGACTTCTTCATTTAAGTGATGTACTGCAGTGGGAATATAAAATTCAAAAAAAGTTAAATCCTCTGGTGAGAGGGATGCAGGAAGACAGGTACTGCTTGTGTTTTTGAAGTACAGATCTGTTTGTATCAAGAA